GGCTGGCGGGCCGTCCGGATTGGCCGGCCGGGAAGCCAGTCAGCCTGCTGGCCCCGCTGCTCCCGCCCCGCGCCGAGCCCGAGCCGCTCATGCCCTTTGGCCCCTCTTCGCGGCAGCCACTCAGAGGGCGCCTTCTTGGCAGGTGCAGCGGGGGCAGCCTCCTCAGCCCCTCCATGAGGCCCGGCGGCGTCGACCGCGGCTCCCTGATGGTGAGTAGGGGAGGGGGGCGGCCCGTCTCTGGTGAAAACCGGGGCGAACGGGGAAGGGGGCCGGGCCCTGGGGCGGGCTTCCGCCTCCGGAGGGGCGGTGCGGCGCTGTGGAGCCCGGGGGTTGGAGCACATCAAAAAGAAACCTTACTTGGTTGTTTTTTGTTTTTTTTTTTTCTGCTAAGGACTGTTCAAAAATGATATTTTGCTCAACAGTAGTTTTCTTATTAATAAGCTAGCACACGTGTATTTCAAGTCATTTGTTCTATGTGTATGTTTATGTTATAATGTTTGAAGGCTCCAGGGAGACCTTCCAGCCCCTTCCAGTTCCTCAAGGGGCTCCAGAAGAGATGGGGGGGGACTCTTGGTGAGGGAGGGGAGCCCTAGGAGGAGGGGGAAGGGTTTGACCCTGAAAGAGGGGAGATGGAGCTGAGATGTGGGGAAGAAGTTCTTTGGTGTGAGGGTGGTGAGAGCCTGGCCCAGGTTGCCCCGAGAAGCTGTGGCTGCCCCATCCCTGGAGGGGTTGAAGGGCAGGTTGGAGGGGGCTTGGAGCAACCTGGTGTGGTGGGAGGTGTCCCTGCCCAGGGCAGGGGGTGGCACTGGATGGGCTTCAAGGTGCTTTCCAACCTAAACCTTTCTTTTACTCTCTGATTCTTCAAAGAAAGATGCTTTCCAAGGTTTTTCCAAGGTATTCTTAGAGCTGTTGCTTCTGACTAGAACAGAAAGCTCTTACGATGTTTTGGTCATTAAAAAAAAATTGTCTGTATGCGTTTTGGTACTAGCAGTGTGACTGTACTAAGTACTAGAATAGCAGCAGGACTCAGGTTAATGCGAGAGTATGGGGATGGTTGTCAGTGTAAAGCTGTTTCAGACTTGGATGTCAGGAGTAGAAGATACTTTGTTTATATCATTGACTTTTGTGCTGTAGAATTACTCGCATTAATCATAATTGTCTGGAAGAGCATTCAGAAAGAGTTAAATTCCTAAATTCATTATGTTTCTCTGTGACAAAGCATAAGATGAAAGAGTATGGAGCATGGATTTTTTTATTTGTATGTTGGTTTTGAAATTTTAAATGGATGATGATTAACTTGGGCTCTAAGGAGCTAGGAGAGTGAATGATTCTACTTGCTGTTTTGCAGTATCAATCTAAAATTGCCCAGATCGTTTTCAGTTCGATCTCGAGCGTCTCTTTGTTATTAATGCTTTGGTGGGACTTGGGGTCGTTGGCTTCACCCTGATTTTCCTCGTTTGTTGCTGCCTTTCAGATGGGACACCCAGGCATGCCACATTATCCTCCCATGGGAATGCACCCTATGGGTCAGAGACCACCCAATATGCCACCAGTTCCTCACGGGATGATGCCCCAGATGATGCCCCCCATGGGAGGACCGCCAATGGGGCAGGTAAGACACTTTAACAAGGTTGTCTTTTTTTTTTCTTTTTTCCTTACCATAATGGTGTCAAGTAATCCCTGAGGTAGGTAAGTCTTACTGAGTAATTTGCAAACGGTAAGGTTTATAATTCAGGATATTTTGTGCCACAGTTCCTATCCATGCAGAAACTCTTCTCATTTGTAACAGCTAATAGACACGCCTCATGTGGAACTTAGATTGTAAATAGCAGTAGGTATGAATCCGTGGTTTGTTTTTTATTAAGGCAGTTAAATGTGATTGAAAAATAAACTTGGCCATTCAGATTGACAGTTGTCAACCTGGGTTGACAGGTAGAGTAGCCAGAATCCCACCTGTGCTTGTTGCAAATTTAAAGCTTTTCTTTTCAATAATCAAAGATCCTTTCCTGTGTAGTTTCTGATTAAATTCTGAACTTCTAAAAGAAGCAATTCTCAGTCTGGATATAATAGGTGTTCTAGATAGATACTACTTGTGCTAATGATTTGTGTAAATAGAACCTGAGTGTCATCAACTAGACCTGGAGATAGAGTAGACCAGAGCAGACAGAGGATGGCAAGAAAGAGTAACCCTTTGAGAAGAGCCCACAAGGTCACTCTGGAAACTCAGTGTCTTCCTTTGCAGTGCTTGGATAGAGTGTGGTTTTGTTTCTTTTTATTTTTTTATTTTTTTGTAGCTGGTGTAAAATGGCTTGGTAGGAATCTTCAGCATAGTTTTGCAGCCTAGTAGAGCTGGTGGAAAAATAATGCAGTTTTAAAAGATGAGGAGGATTTGACCAAGCATGAGCTTTTGTGTGTGTTCATTAGAAACTTAAATAGCAGTTATTTTCTATTCCTCTACTTCATAGTTCTTTTATAGCTTCTGTTCCACTGTTTTTACTCTCATGTATTGAATATTTCAATCTTTAATGTTTTAGTGAGTAATGTGGAGAACTTGGGACTCTTTGGTAGATGCAGGGTAAAAATCTCAGCGTAAGTGCCGTGGCAGAGAGGAGATGAGCAGCTCAGTGACCCTGCAGCCGTGAGGATGGGACAGGACAGGGATATGCTCACGCCTGAACTAATGTGCTGGAAGTAACAGCTCATGTCGGGTTGTTTCCTTGAAAGATAAGCTCTTTTCTTCCAGCAGATATCAGAGGTTTCTTTGTGAGGCTTTGCAGGATGTAGCTTTTTTCCCCCTTTCTGAGGGGAACCCCCGTAGGGCAGATACTTTGTGTAGATACCAGCAACACCCTCCTGTCAGCGTCGTTCAGAGGAGGGTCTTTTGGAAAAGAATTCACTCTCCTTCCCAATTATTTCTTTTTAGTTTCCTGAATTTGGGTTAGTGTTATGCAGAAACCAAGCAGTGCACAAGGTTTCTTCAGGACCCAAGCCAGGGCTTTTAAGAAGTTCCAGGCTCAAAGCCCCCTTAGTTGCAAGTAGCGATGGGGCAAGAGTGCTTTCTTCTCCTGCTTCTACAGGATGGCGAGGAATAGGAGGGGCCGCCTTCCAGTCTTTCCTTCCTCCCTCACCCTCCCAAGAAAACCTTGTGGATTTGAGGGTGGAGCAGTAGCTCTGCCACATAGCCCTCTCTCCGCACGAGATGCAAGATGAGGAGAGTGGTAACCAGAGGCTCCCTGAAGATACAGGGGGATGGGGTCACTTGGCCAGCCTGCCAAGGACAATAAAGGTAAAGGGGCATAACGCAAAGGTTGAAAGGGGGTTGACTTCAAGACCTGTTTGGGATGAGTGGCCAAAAGTTCATGTTCCTAATGACCTAAATTATATGTCTTGTTTGCTTTGCCACTTTGTTATGGCTTCTTAGTTCTTAAAAGCCAGCAAAAATAAGGAAACGTGCAAGGTATTAAACACTTTTTCAGTAGCATTTTTGACATCCTTTCAGAGTGTCACTTCAGTGAGATATAACTTCTGCATAACTATCCCTTTGAGACTATGAGCATAAATATTTGGGCAAAAGCTACCTTACCTGAGTAGCAGTTCTGTGGGTTTTTTGGTCTCATTGGACCACCCCACAAACTCAGATACAAGTCTAGACTCAAACTTTTCATTTCTGTAGTGTGGTAGATCCCCATGACCAAGTTCACACTGTTATGTGGTTTAATATTGTATGTCTATATTAAGGCTTTTTCCCCCCTAGACCTTTAAAAAAAAAAGAAGAGTTTGGAATTGTTTTAGAGCATTGATGTTTAAACTTAATAGCGCTCTCCATCTTGAAGTTGTTTGCAGAAATTCCTTATTCTAGCATCCCTGTAAAGTGTTTCTTCCTATTTGTGAGGTAAGGGGGAAGGGAGACAGGTTGCAAGTTGTCAAAAAACATGAGCAGAACTAACCTCAGACTTGGAGTTTACCTTTCCTTTGCTTAGTTTGTTCCGTGTGGCCTTGGAATTTTGCAGAAATGTTTCCCAACCTTTTATTTTGCCTGCTTTAACTAACAGATCTCACATCTTACCATTTGCTGTTGTTCTTTTGTAGTTTAAATGGTGGTCTTTATTAATAATTTCATATCAGACTTTGGAAAACTCTAGACATGTCATTCCTAACGTCTGTTTTGTAGGAGTGTAATGAAGGGAATCAGCATTCTACAAACCTGCCATTCTTTTTGCTGCCGAGTGATTTAAAGGGTTTTTAAATAAAAGCTAGTAGCAGTTAATTCCTTTTAAATAAGAATGAAAGAATCCTCATGTTTAAAATATCGTAAAATATATCTGAAATACTTTTTAATTATAGATGCCTGGAATGATGCAGTCAGTAATGCCTGGAATGATGATGTCTCACATGTCTCAAGCTGCTATGCAGCCTACGGTCCCGGTGAGTCTAATTAAATGCTTTTAGAAAAGGTCTCTGTGTCAGTTGTCTTTACTTGAGCCTGGGTGTGCTTGTATTTTTTTTCTTGGATTAAGAAAAAGGTATTGCTGATGGCAATTAAGTTTTATCTAGCTCTTGAATTATTGTAAAAAGTGGGATTTCTGCGAGAGGCAGAGCCAGTGATACTCGGTGTCCTGTGGATTTTCATCGGTCTTTAAACCCTTTTTCTGTCTGGATTCTGCTTCCCATAACGGTTCCTGCACCCCTGGCCTCCTCCCTTGTCCCTCACCTGCTTTGGGAGGGCTAATTGACTGCTATGTATCTGATTTTCTATAAAAGTTTCTGAAATTCAGCATGTTTGAAATCATGAGAAAAGTTTGCTGATATAGGTGTGAAGAAGTTATTTGGGTGGAAATGGAGTGGGAAGAGTTAATGGATATTATAGATTGTCTCTTTCTGAAGTGGAAAAGGCTAAATTTCTTTCCTATTAACATAGTCTTTTTGGATATTTAAAGTAACCATAGGAGATCTGCTTACAAACATTTCTATCCACTTAAATTTAGAAATACATTATTTTTTTATTTTCTTACCATGCGGATACTACATCCCCATGTCAGGTTTCATCCTTGTAGAACACTGTATTTTTCTGTAGTACTAAGCACAAAACCTTTGCTACTGCTTTTGTTGATTGTTTTTAAAAAAATAAGTTGGTTAATACTCCACATCTTTTTTTATTTTTCATTAAGAATTTGCTGAAAGAGATCTTTAATTCACCTACTAAATAGGCTATGTGTATCCAGATGTAGTGTGCTAAGTAGTCCATCTGCCCTCTGGAGTAATGAGAGAAAAATCACAAAGACACAAAGTTTCTATAAAATAAATAGAGAAGGGACTGTTAGGAGAAGGATGGGACATCACCTTGACATGTACTAGATGACTGAAGATTCATACCAGAGAAGGGATGTTAATTATTTTAATTAACAGTGGAGAAAAACTTAAGTTTAAGGCATGGGCTTTGTCAGACACTAGAGAATCTGCCTGTTAGTTATGAGTTTGTGCTCATGGAGCTGCTTCCCAATGTGCTACATATTTTAGAAGCTACCAAGTAGGAAAGATGTTAGTGATTTTCTTCCATTTCCCATACAGAAGTGTTCATGAATTTCTGACAAGTGATGCTCTTGGAGAATTTTGAAAGAATTTCACACCTTCAGGGAAAAATCTTAAAAAAAATTCTGTGGCCCAAAGAGACTTAAAAGGAGAGGGAGAGATCAGTGCTAAAATCAGTCTAATTTTGAGTTTTACTGTATGTTTTTACATATTCTGGCTTGAAGGTAGATCACCTGGTTTTCTTATATGGGATTAGGAATAAATTTTGATTGAAATAAAGGTTCGTTGATGATTCAACTTTTGATGATTCAACAGTTTAGTTCTGTTGGATAATAGCAAACAAAATTGACCCAACGTGATTTCTTCTCTCTCTGTAGCAGTTTTTACTTAGAGGAGTTTTTTGTTAATCAAATTTGTAGAAGAAAGCTGAAAGGTAAACCTTAGCAAAAGATAAACCTGCAAACTATATTTTTACCTACAGAAAAAGAAAAAAATTGGGAAAACTCTATTTGAATCCCGTTAATCTTTTCTCTCAGTTTAAAAGAATTTCAAGAAGGGCATCTGCAGGAGCTTTGGTTGTTTGCAAGCAGTTTTATGAATGCAACAAATTCAACACTAATACATTCAAAGGCTTATGCTACATAATTACAACAGAAGCCTACTAAGTTACTCCAGCAGAAATTCAGATTTTTTTTTATTATCCTTTTTTCCTCCCAACCTGCTCATTTGGGAGATAAAGATGTGTATTGGAATGATTGCAAGGGAGCCCCTGCTGTAGTTTATTGTATATATTGCCTCTCTGAAAAGTAGCCTGATGTTCCTAATTGCTTCTTTAAGGAGCAGTAATAATTCAGTGGGTGGTGGGAAGCTGGGAATCCATACTCAAGGCAGCAGAGAATTGTGTTGCTGAAAGCACTTGTTTGAATATGTCCTGTATTTATTGATGATTTAATTACAATTGCACTCAGTGCTTAAATATCTGTTGATTGTTTCTACAGCCAGGGGTGAACAGTATGGACGCCCAAGTAGGTGAGTATAAACAATATGTTACCATTTCAAAGTAGTTAACCAAAATTAAGTGAAGTATTTAAAGAAAAAAAAAAATACTTCTCTGTAAAATATGATTTAGCATTTCAGTAACCGACGTCTTCATTGATTCCCAGAAAATTTTACTTTCGAACGTTCATTAGTCTTTGTATAGAAAAATACATCAACCAAACATTTTTAATTTTTTTTTTTCCCCAGGTGTAACACCTCCTGGAACTCAGGTATGTGAAAACCAGAACAGTAGAAGATTGCAATAGCAGTGTGGTGTTGGGCATGTGTGGCTTTGCGGGTTTAAAAGAAAACCTGGTGTCTTATTTTTCTGCTCATACGGAGCTGCTTTGCTTATTTGACTGTCAGTCTGTAATTAATGTTAATATTTAAAGTAGCTGTGTTTTCTGTTATGTTTCCTCTCATTTCTGAGCACTGAACTCTGTCTGTTTCTAGTTCTTCTAGTGTGCAAGGCAGCAACAGGAAATGTTGGAAATTAAAGAAAATTTTTACAGGGAAAGGGTTATGAAGCCTTGGAATGGGCTGCCCAGGGAAGGGGTTGAGGCACCATCCCTGGAGGGATTTAAAAGAGTGTCTGTTTCTAGTTCTTCTAGTGTGCAGGACAGCAATAGGAGGTGTTTCTTGTGATGTTTGTAGGTCTTTTTGCCCTGCCTGAGCAGTGAGGGCATTGTAGCCTAGATTAGATACCTGGGTGTTTAAAACTGGCTGCTTTCTTGTGATGTTTTTAGGTCTTTTTGCCCTACCTGACCGGCAAGGGCATTGTAGCCTACATTAGATACCTGGGTGTTTAAAACTGGCTGCTTTCAGATTTAAATCTTGGCAAGCATTGGGCTAGGTGATACTCAGGGTAGAGATGGGAGTTTATTTGCTCTGAAGAAGATTGAAGGTTGCTTCTCTATCTGTCTTGTTCCTCTTTTTTCCTTCCATATCAGTGCCCAGCTTATAAACACTTTTAGGTTAAAACCAGGAGCTTTCAGATTTAAATCTTGGCAAGCATTGGGCTAGGTGATACTCAGAGTAGAGATGGGAGTTTATTTACTCTGAAGAAGATTGAAAGTTGCTTCTCTGTCTTGTTCCTCTTTTTTCCTTCTGTATCAGTGACCGGCTTATAAACACTTTTAGGTTAAAACCAGGAAGGCCCTATAAGCAGTTTTTCGTTTTACCTACATTTGGGTAACTTCTTGCCTGCTACATATTAACGAATATTGTGTTTTAGCAGTTCTAATGTGTGTAGCAAAATTTGTCAGGCAAACCAGGACAAAGGATTAAGTCTTCCTTGCTGTTCCTTAACACACCTGCACTTAGCAGGAAAAAACAGGTCAAGGTTCTGGTATTGTTCAGTCCCGTGTGATTTATTGGAACCTTTATTAGCATTGTCAGCCTACTGAGAGTTTTGTTGCCAAACACTTCAACAATAAAAAGAGAATAGCCTATAAAGTTACCCAGAATAATTTTGAAAAAATCTCTGTGGTTTTTGAAGGATATCTTTATATCCTGACATCAAAAGAAAGGTCATCACCGCTTCATCAGTTCGCTGTTGATAATTTAGCTTAACTTCTCCCCCCACTGAAGTCTTGACATTACTTGAAATTTTCTTTTGTTAGTGTCTTGTGTGTTTGTGGGAACAGAGTGTAATTCAGTAGTTTAAGGGGGAATAAATATTGGGTAGGTTGCACGGAAGGTGATTTAGCGTAGGCTGAACTTGGAAACAGGAAGGTGGCGTGGGGGCCAAACTGACTTCCTAGGTGTTTTTTAGTAATCTTCCACCTTTCCACCAGCTGGGAAACTGCTGATGGAACAGAACTGGTGCTGTTTATCTCAACATTGAAACTTTTGAGTCATGAATTAATGTAGGTTTGAACTGAGGTAGGCAGGTCATCTAAAAGTAATTTAGAATTTTGTCTTTCATGGCACCCTGGATGATGATAAATAACTTTCAGTCACTATCAGAGTTCTATTTAAAATTTTGTAAATACTAAATTACTTCTCTAGAGGCTATCCCAGACATTTACCTTTAGTTTTTAAGATGATAAAGGAAATAGTTTGGCTAAATAATAGAAGAGGCAGAATCAGTAAAAATAGTTATGTGGCCTCAAAGATATCCCATTGTAAGTTTTTTGGTTCAAAATTTGGGGATGTTGCTTCTTGAAGCAAATTTTTCTTAGTTTTGAAAACATGGTGTGCTGCTGAGACTTTCGCTTGGAGCATTTAGGGTCCTGTCACACTCACTTTCACTTTCTTTTCGGATGGTAATTGCTGCCTTGGGTCGCTGAATGGGAGCGGGGTGTGCGAGACTCTTAATAGCTCTTCTCACAAAGAAGTAGCTGACTTAAATGTGTTTAGATTTTTGGCTTGCTGTCTTTCCTGTGCTGCTGAATTACTTGGTATATTTGATATACACACTCAAATGGAAAAAACAAATATTAACCAGAATGTCTTTTCAGAGCTCTGTTTTGTTTCGCCCTCAGACAACGCATCCCGTGGTTTGTGCAGCCCAGCAAACTGCCACAACCAACAGCTCTGTTAGCGACGACCACTCCAAACAGGTTTTTCCACTTGCATTTAACTTTTCAGTGCCTTTTGATACCAGCTCAGTCAGCAATTATTGCTCATCGTTAACGGTATCTTTTTCTTTTTCCTAGAAATCTACCTGGACAGAACACAAATCACCCGATGGGAGAACATATTACTATAATACTGAAACAAAGCAGTCTACGTGGGAGAAGCCAGATGATCTCAAAACACCTGCTGAGGTAAATTAAATTCAAATAAAGATTATTGTACTATGAGAGTTTGTGTGAACACAAGCATTTAGTAGCAGAACTCCTGTGCAGGAGGGTAGCTCTGCCAATAGATTATTTTCTTCCCAATGGGAGCAAACTGTTAAATATTTGTATCGCACTCCTTATGTTGGTGGAACTTGAGGCTGCAAAATGGACAAAACTCTCTACACTTCTCCTGAATTTTTAGGTAAATTTTCCACATGAAAAAAAATGGCATTCTTTAATATTTAGTTAAGTAATGTGTTTGTTTAATGCTAAGGAGGATTTTCCATGGAAAGTATATGCCCACATTCATTGATCCTTAAGTTATTTCTTGGCGTAGTGTTTGTGGCTCATTTCTAGCTACCCCTTTAATTTTAAAGCACCATTGTAAGTTTGATTTTATGTTTTTGTTTTCTCTCTGTTAGCAATTGTTGTCTAAGTGCCCCTGGAAAGAGTATAAATCGTTTGGTTTTGTTTTCTCTCTGTTAGCAATTGCTGTCTAAGTGCCCCTGGAAAGAGTATAAATCTGATTCTGGCAAGCCCTACTATTACAATTCCCAAACAAAGGAATCGCGCTGGGCAAAACCCAAGGAGCTTGAGGATCTGGAAGGTAATGTTAATGAAAATGGGTAGGGAGGGTGGCAGTGATTGCAAGCTGTGCATATGCCTGACTTCAGGCAAAAATTTGCCATCACAGCATAGCACTCAAACTTCTGTAAAGGAATTAAATCCACAGGAATAAGCTTTATGTAGTAGAGCTTCTAAGGAGCAGTTTTGTCTCCTGTGTCCTTACCACCATTCCTTTTTCCATTATACTTTTATTTCTTCCCCATTTATGTGGCAGCAGCAGCAGCTCCCCCTCGTGTCCCTAAAGGGGAACTGAATTATGCTGTGGCTGATTCAAGGCTGGTATCAGTTTGCTTTTAATTTTTGACCCAAAAAAAATTATTTTGAGAAACTATGATGTGGCATAAACATGAGTAATTTTTTATTGCCCTTCAGTATTATAAAGGCCATGTCCCTTTTTGTAATAATGTCCTATGATGCTGTGCCCCCTTTTTTTAACTTTTAGCATGGTTTTGTTTGGTGGTGTAAGGGAAATAAGATCTTGGTGAGAAATCTACAAAACCAGGTGGGGTAAGAAATGAGTATTTTAAACTGCAAAGACTAAGCATCAGTGACTTAGAATAAAAAAGAAGGAAAGATCTGTTTCAGTAAATCTAACTTTATCGGTTCTTTAAGATAGTCTTTTAAAGTTAAAATAATTATTTTAAACTAAGAAGTCGTTCTTTATGTGCCCTTTTCTTTCTTTAATGGGATTTCTAAATTTTGGGTTTAGTCTGAATTGATTTCAGTCTTCAAAGGGCATAAATATTAAAATTATTGATAGTAGTGAAAATATTTAACGCTATACTTTTATTAAATAATATTAAAAGTAACTTTTTACCATGTGTATATAAAGTATTTTTTAAGCTGTATTTTGATTTATTTTTTTTCTCTATCTCCTCTAGCAATGATTAAAGCTGAAGAAAACAGGTATGTTTTGAATGGCGTGCTAATGTTTTTATGTTAAGCTGCTTATTTCTTAAAAATGGGATCTAGTCCTTGAAGCTTTAAACATTCTTCTCGCAGCTTTTCATTCCAAATCGTGGCTTAATACCTAAAACCTCAATTTACCCTGGGTTTCTTTGTAACTGAAATGATTGATCTGATTGATCCTGTTTCAGTGAAGCCTTTCCTTTCTCTGAGCTGAGACTGGGGTGTGTTCTTCTGAGAAGTCTTTGTAACTCAACCTAAAAACTCGGCATTTCACTGAATTTCACTGAATTTTTAGAGTTGGAAGGGACCATAGAGATCATCCAGTCCAACTCCCCTGCTAAAGCAGGACCACCCAGAGCTTGTCAGAGCATGTTACTCAGGAGCATCCAGGTGGGGCTTGAAGATCTCCAGAGAAGGGGCCTCCACACCCTCCCTGGGCAGCCTGTTCCAGGGCTCTGTCACCCTCACCGTGAAAAAGTTCTTCCTCATATTCAAGTGGAACCCTTTATGTTCCAACTTGTGCCCATTGCCCCTTGTCCTCTCACTGGCAACTACTGAAAAGAGCCTGGTTCCCTCCTCCCTCAGCCCGCCCTTGAGATACTTGTAGGCATTGATAAGGTCTCCCCTCAGCCTTCTCTTCTCCAGACTAAAGAGTCCCAGCTCTTTCAGCCTCTCCTCATAAGGGAGATGCTCCAGTCCTTGAATCATCTTTGTAGCCCTTAAACCCTTCAGTTGTCCCCTTCTTGTGTGTGATGGCTCCTGTTTTCTGATGCCTCCAGCACAAAGCCTGAAGACTCCACTCCGGCGGCGTCGGCTCCGGCGGCGGCAGAAGCAGGGAGCGCAGCCACGGCCGCCACGACGGCGGAGACCGCCGGCGCTGCCACCACCACCACGGCAGCCTCTGCTGGTACAGCAGCCCCCGAAGCAGAATCTGCTGCAGGTGCTGCTGGGGAAGGTGAGAGCACTGGCACCACCACCACCGAGGAGCAGGGACAGGCAGCTTCTGGCTCTGCCACGCAGGAGCAGAGTGGAGAAACTGCGGCCAACGCAGCAGATGACTCTTCCAAGCAGGAGGCCTCAGCAGAGTAAGTGAAATGACCAAAAGCATGGTTTTGCTGCAGTTTTCTATTTCTGGTTTATCTTCGTTTGGTGGTGGCCAGGCTTCTTGGACATCTGGTTGTTTCCTCAGTGAAACGTGAACATGAGTCAATGACAGCAGAGAAGAAATGAGTGAGAGAGAGAATATTAAATCTACTTTTAGAAAAGTTAGCATCTTCCCCTTGCCAACGCTCCCCCAAAACTCTTACACCCCACAGAGAGCACTCGTGCCTCAAACACTTTGTAAAGTTTTGGTAGCTGTAAGAGTTTCCCAGAGTGATGTTATGTGCTTCTGCTTTCGTAGTGCCCTGGTTTGAGATAGAGCAAAACCATTTTTCAGTAATTTTACTTTTCAGTTAAGTCTCTTCTAACCAGCTGCACTCTCTGAAATTAATGGTATGTTTTTCAGACAGGGTCTGCTTCTAGCAGTGGTAAGGCCTGATGTTTATAGTGAATACCAAGGGATGGGATGCAGAGAGGCTCTTGCTTATACTAATTGATGTAACAACTAAGGTCAGCTAACTTTTATGTGCTCTTCCAAGCAGGAGGCCTCAGCAGAGTAAGTGAAATGACCAAAAGCATGGTTTTGCTGCAGTTTTCTATTTCTTCGGGGATCTGGTTTCTCTTCGGTTGGTGGTGGCCAGGCTTCTTGGACATCTGGTTGTTTCCTCAGTGAAACGTGAACATGAATCAATGACAGCAGAGGTGAAATGAGTAAGAGAGAGAATGTTAAATCTACTTGTAGAAAAGTTAGCATCTTCCCCTTGCCAATGCTCCCCCAAAACTCTTACACCCCACAGAGAGCACTCGTGCCTCAAACACTTTGTAAAGTTTTGGTAGCTGTAAGAGTTTCCCAGAGTGATGTTATGTGCTTCTGCTTTCGTAGTGCCCTGGTTTGAGATAGAGCAAAACCATTTTTCAGTAATTTTACTTTTCAGTTAAGTCATCAATGACAGCAGAGGTGAAATGAGTAAGAGAGAGAATGTTAAATCTACTTGTAGAAAAGTTAGCATCTTCCCCTTGCCAATGCTCCCCCAAAACTCTTACACCCCACAGAGAGCACTCGTGCCTCAAACACTTTGTAAAGTTTTGGTAGCTGTAAGAGTTTCCCAGAGTGATGTTATGTGCTTCTGCTTTCGTAGTGCCCTGGTTTGAGATAGAGCAAAACCATTTTTCAGTAATTTTACTTTTCAGTTAAGTCTCTTCTAACCAGCTGCACTCTCTGAAATTAATGGTATGTTTTTCAGACAGGGTCTGCTTCTAGCAGTGGTAAGGCCTGATGTTTATAGTGAATACCAAGGGATGGGATGCAGAGAGGCTCTTGCTTATACTAATTGATGTAACAACTAAGGTCAGCTAACTTTTATGTGCCCCGTTGGAGGGTTGGAAGTGGAACAGTGTAGGGGGGTGGCACCTGCAGTGAGGAGCAGACAGGGCATTTGACCCAGAACTGCCCAATGGGGTGTTCCATCCCATGGGCATCATGCTGATGACAAAGGCTGAGGGATCAAAGGGGTCAGGCTCTTCCTTCAATGGCCAGCGTCCAGGGAGGACTCTCTTCTACTGCCTTTGATCCTAATCTGTGTGTCCCTGAATCCAGTTTTCATCCACCACTGAGTCCAGTCCCAGTGCTGGCCAGTGATGTGATCCTCATCCTGGGCGCTTGAGATTGGCTTTATATCTATTTATATATATTTCATTATTTTCTTATTATTGTTACTGTCTTGTATAATATTTTATTAAAGCTGGTTTAGTTTTTTTCACCTCGTAAGTTTCTCTCCCTTCCCATTTTGTCACTTGTTTAGTGGGGCCAGCCCAGCCTGAACCTCGACACACGGATCTGTGCAATTGGCTATCATTAGAAGAAAATTCAATACTAAGTAGACCTTTATCTGTTCCACCAGAAATGAGATCCTTTGTTTCTTAATAATTGAGAACTGATCAGGTGGAGAATTATAGCTTATTATGCTTTTTATCATTCAAAGAAACCTCCGTGCTGTGGGGGATAAGAGCCATCAGGAGATAAAACACGCTTTTTGCCCTTAATTAGGCACACCCCTTTATATTTTTATATTTTATATATGTATAAGTATTCCTGCTAAATTTCAGCGTTATATTTTTATGAATCATTTCTAGATAACTTGAGCAGGTAGCCAATTGCATAAGGGATAATACTGAAATAGTTTGCTTTTTTTTAATCAGTTGTGTACGGTGCCTGTAAGGAAAAGTCTTACACAAATTGTGTGTATCATAGAATTGTGTGGCTTTATTATTTTTCTTTGAGTTGCTATTTAAAAAACTCATCCTATCTGATTATGTTGGCTCTAACTTAGGAAAAAAAATGGGTAAATAATAAATTTACTGATTTTTTATATATAGTGGTGCTTCGAAGAAGGAGGACGACGATGCCCAACCAGTTAAAAAAACCTATACGTGGAATACAAAGGAAGAAGCAAAGCAAGCATTTAAAGAGCTGTTAAAAGAAAAGGTATTTTGGTCAACTATTCTTAATGCTTTCTTGAACTACAAAACCAGCATTTGCCAGAAATTGCTGGACTTCTTTTTTTTTTCTGCTTAGCTTTGTTTTTCCCTCAGAGTGTATGAGATCTGCTTGTGCTTTGGCTGCTGAGTCAACATGGTTTTATAGGGCACAAACTTCCAGAAGAATTTATTGTAGAAATGGCAATAATCCCAAAAGTACCTTGTTTCATTTTCCATGTTGACTGTTAATAAAATATAAATAAAACCTGTGACAAAGAATGTTGTCTTAACCTCAAAAGTGTAGTGCGTTTTTTTTTTGTTTTTTCATCGGGGCTATTTTTTAAGGAATCAGTCATTGTTGGGTGTTGGTTCTAAATCTAATTAGTTAATGATTTAATGTCTTCACAGCGAGTACCGTCCAATGCTTCTTGGGAACAAGCTATGAAAATGATCATTAATGATCCTAGATACAGGTACTGCTTGATTCTTTCCTCCTTGAATTTCTACACAAGTACTATTTTAGGGAGTTTGACTTTGCTGACATAACTTCTAATTTTTTTAATAGATATTTGTGACCATGTACAGTTGTCAGAGAACTTTTTTCACTTCCTGTGAAAAAAAATTCAAGTCCTAGGCTTAATTTTTCATTGGGGAAAAATGTGGCAGTTGTTGGGTGTATTTCATGCTATTTATATTATTTGTGGTTGATGTCTATGATAAAAAATAGTTTTATAATGTAAAATGTGTAAATGCAACCTGAAGGCATGATAGTAGCTTGTGTTTTGATATTACCTGCTTTTATTAGTAAGTGCTTGATTTTATTGCTTTTTTTAAATGATCTTCCATCAATCCTGAGGGAGAGGCAGGGTGATGACTGGCCACTAGATTATATTTAATTTTGTTTCAAAAATCTGGATTATTCAGATCTGTTATCTTATGATTCTTTGGTTTCGTTGGTTTCCCTTTTGTATAATTGACACTGTTGTTTTCTTTTTCTTTGATATGAAGTGCTTTGGCAAAATTAAGTGAAAAAAAGCAAGCTTTTAATGCTTACAAAGTGCAAACAGAAAAAGAAGAGAAAGAAGAAGCGAGATCAAAATACAAAGAAGCTAAAGAATCATTCCAGCGTTTTCTTGAGAACCATGAGAAGATGACATCCACAACAAGATACAAGTAAGATCTAGATATATGAAGTTTATATTCTTTTTTACTTTACTTTTTTTTTTTTTTTTTTTTTAATTTTTACCAGCCTTTACTAGTTTGCCAAGTTAATAATCAAATCTTGCTGGTTTGCTCTTGGTGAGTGCCAGCCTGGAACCGTAAGTTTTATAGCAACACAAATAGTCTCATTTTCATAGAATGTATATAAGACCAGGCAAAAAAAACCCAAGTGAGTAAGTGCTGATGATAATGTGTTGGGGTTGAGCTTCTAATAAGTAGGTACAAAAGATGGCACAGAGAGGAGTCTTATATGACATTTAAGTAGTTTTGATAGGTTGTTGGTGGAAGTTCAATTTTTAACTGTTTCCTTTGTTTATAAGAGATAGGAGGGTGTTACAGAAAAAGTTTCCCAAGACAGAAAATGAAGGAGATGCCACACAAAAGCAGTGCTACTTCCAGTATTACTTACAACATTAGTGACCTCTGTTGTAAGCCAATGGGACAATTTAAATCAGCATTTACCAATAAATAATTGTATGTTTTTTGTTTTTGTCCAGAAAAGCTGAACAAATGTTTGGGGAGATGGAAGTCTGGAATGCGATATCTGAGCGTGACCGACTTGAAATTTATGAAGATGTCTTGTTTTTTCTGTCTAAGAAAGAGAAGGTGACTTTCTTTCAAACTTCTCTTTTCACTTGGTACCTGTAAATGAGTTTATACCTGTAGCAGTATCTCTAAGAGATGAGCACCGTTTCGTGAGCTTTCCCCATCTGTGGGGAACAGAGATAATAGTCCTGAAATGGTTTGGCTGTGGATGTGAGCAATAATAGCATGTAGAAATTATATGTAGGTCAAAATTGTATTAAGTACCTTTGTATGCAAACAAAAGATTAATTTTGTGTTGTCTTGAAGAACAAACTTCAGGGGTTGTGTATTTTTGTCGGTACAACCTCAAATTTAACAACAACAAAAAATAATGCATTTTCTCCTCAGGAACAAGCCAAACAGTTACGAAAGAGGAACTGGGAAGCTTTGAAGAACATACTAGATAACATGGCCAATGTCACTTACTGTACCACGTGGTCGGAGGCTCAGCAGTATCTGATGGACAACCCTACGTTTGCAGAAGACGAGGAACTTCAGAGTATGTAAAAAGTCTCAGCATTTCTTGTTGGAAGAGGGGAATGGATTTGTCTTTAGCAATGAGGACTCCTGGCTGGGTATGGCTTGCTCCTGTGCAGGCTAGAGCTGCCATGACTACCCCAGAGGGGTTCAAGGCCAGGTTGGAGGGGGCTGTAGAGCTGCCATGACTACCCTGGAGGGGTTGAAGGGCAGGTTGGAGGGGGCTTGGAGCAACCTAGTCTTGGTGGGAGGTGTCCCTGCCCAGGGCAGGGGGTGGCACTGGTGGGGCTCCAACGTTCCTTCCCACCCAAACCATTCTATGTTTCTGTGGCAGCTTCTGAGCAGCCTGTGTGAAGGGACCTGTCTTGTTTGGTTTCTAGAAAACACATCAGTTTCAAAAATCATTTCTGATTAACCCTGGTGATAAAGGATACATTTTTGGTGGGGCTTGAATTGCCTTAGTAGTTGTTAGCCTTGGAAATTAGAAGAATTATTTGATAACATAATCTGTGTTGCAAATACTTTCACTACCTTTATTTAGGCTGAGGTCCTGCTGTGTTTGTTTTCCTAGAAAAGTAATTATTTTTACTTTCTAGTGTAAGAAAGCAGTTTCTGAAATTAGAATTATTTGATAACGTAACCTGTGTTGCAAATACTTTCACTACCTTTATTTAGGCTGAGGTCCTGCTGTGTTTGTTTTCCTAGAAAAGTAATTATTTTTACTTTCTAGTGTAAGAAAGCAGTTTCCTCCATTATGAGCACATTTTTTCTTCCGTGTTTTAAGAGCAGCATGTGCTTTTACACAGCTTATAAAGCATTTGACAAAAGATGCTCTGTGTTTTTACCTCTGTCCTGTGATTTTAAGATCCCTGTGGTGGAGTGGGAAGATGCACAAGTGCTCATCCACAACACTTTTTTTTTCTCATAAAGGCTTCTATGCTCTCTGTTGGCAATGATCATTTATCCAGGTTGGGGGAGGTTGGCTTTTGCTGCTGCTCAGATCTTCATGTATTTCAGTGCTTGATGAAATTTCCACTCACAGTAACAACTGGCAACCATTCCCTCACAGTAAGACTCTTTCTGCAGTTAGTGGGAAGAAATACCTAATTTTTACTCCTGACATTCTGTTGTTTTCTGTCTCTAGACATGGATAAGGAGGATGCACTGATCTGCTTTGAGGAACACATCAGGGCACTGGAAAAAGAGGAGGAAGAAGAAAAACAGAAAAGTTTGCTTAGAGAAAGAAGGCGGCAGCGTAAAAATAGAGAATCTTTTCAGGTTGGTGGACTTTTCTCTTTCTGTCCTAGGTGGGTCACGATTAGATGTTCTGTAGGGCTTTTTATTTCTTAGAGCAGGCTCACAGGTGTGTATAATGAATGCATCAGTTATCAGCATTGTAGCATTTTCCCTGCTGTATAATAGATCTGCTTTCCAGAAAGCTGCAAAAGCAGGGGAAAGCAAGAGGAAACAGAACTGGGTGGAAAGGAAATGCAATTGGAACATTGGGGGATAAAGGCAGGAAGAAAGGATGATGTGAAAAGTGATTTTTTCAATCACATCTTAACAAAAATGGAATTCCAGTTATCAAAAAGTATCCATTCCAGCCGTTAGCCAAGTAGAAGTATGATGAATGGCTAAAAATTTCCTTTTCACTTGTATCTTGCAGCTCTTTTTAGATGAACTACACGAGCACGGACAGTTGCATTCCATGTCCTCCTGGATGGAGCTCTACCCAACCATCAGCTCTGACATCAGATTCACGAATATGCTGGGTCAGCCTGGTAAGAATGCTGCTTCTTCCAGCCCTGTGAAAAGGAAGGTAGAAATCTTGGACTTGGGGCAGAATAGAGCAGGGTTATTTTGTATATTTTCTAACTGTTTAAAAAAAATGCAGCTCTTTTATTAGAGCTAGCTTTTGACTTATCTAGTTTTTTCATCAGGATCAACAGCACTTGATCTTTTCAAGTTCTATGTTGAAGACTTGAAAGCACGTTACCACGATGAGAAGAAGATCATAAAAGATATCCTAAAGGTGAGAGGCCCTGGGGGGGAAAGCTTCATTATGGGGTTTCTTCTTTGAATGCCAAACCTATCATTGAAGTGACCTCTTTGCTTCTGGGAGATGGGATTTCACGTGGCGTTGACGTCGTGGGCGTTAGTGCTGAGGGGAGAGTTCCTGATTTACCTGATGCCAAAGGAGCAATTTTCTTCCAGGATAAAGGATTTGTGGTTGAAGTGAATACTTCTTTTGAAGATTTCGTTACGGTCATCAGCTCAACTAAAAGAGCTACTACTTTAGATGCGGGAAATATCAAGCTGGCTTTCAACAGTGTGAGTATTGATACATAGGAATGGTCCAAACCTTGCAATGTGAAATCTCTAGGAAAAACAAGAATTGCCCTTTATTTCACTGCTTTCATAATATTTGAGGGAGATGCTGTGATTTAGAGTGGCTTATCCTGGTATCAGCTCCCGAAATAAACATTGTAGGGGTGTATCTTTACGCAAAACGTTTCAATTTGAGAAATTCTGTGGTAGGAATGAAGTAATGTTCTCTCATTTATATGTAACTTCTCACATGAGGGATTTTTTTCTGCTTGTGTGTTTCTGTAGTTGTGGCCTGTATGATATACTGACTCTATTTTAGACTCTGTTTGAGCATCTAAAGCTTTAAGAATAAGTAATTGGTTAATTTTCTGTATGCCCGACTGACTAATAGAAAGCTCTAAAGGTGAACTGTCATTGGGCTTTCCCAAAAATTGCTTTAAACCGAATTATTAGTGTTCCACTTTGATACCCTTGAAATGATCTTGCGACTTCTGTTTGCTGTAGCTACTAGAAAAGGCAGAAGCCCGTGAAAGAGAGAGGGAGAAAGAAGAGGCTCGCAAAATGAAGCGGAAAGAGTCTGCCTTCAAGAGCATGTTGAAGCAAGCGACCCCTCCGATTGAGCTGGACGCGGTCTGGGAGGATGTACGTGTCACCACTTCCTTAAGAAAGTCTTTCCAAATAGATTTAACAGGCTGCTCTGCATAAACCTGTGTTCTCTACGCACTTAGTGGTGCTGTTTATAGAACTTAGACCCATAAAATCATAGACTCATAGAATCATTCAGGTTGGAAGAGACCCTTGGGATCATCGAGTCCAACCATCTCCCCTACTCTACAAAGTCCTCCCCTACACCATGTCCCTCAGCACTGCATCTAAACGGCCCTTAAACACAGCCAGGGATGGGGACTCCACCCCCTCCCTGGGCAGCCTGTTCCAATGCCCGACCACTCTTTCGGTGAAAAATTCCTTCCTAATGTTCAATCTAAACCTCCCCTGTTGGAGCTTGAAGCCGTTCCCTCTCATTCTGTCACTAATTACCTGTGAGAAGAGACCAGCACCAACCTCTCTACAGTGTCCTTTCAAGTAGTTGTAGAGAGTGATGAGGCCTCCCCTCAGCCTCCTCTTCCTCACACTAAACAGTCCCAGCTCCTTCAGCCGCTCCTCATACGATTTGTTTTCCAGCCCCCTCACCAGCTTCGTTGCCCTCCTCTGCACTCGCTCCAGCACCTCCAGATCTCTCTTGGATTGAGGTGCCCAAAACTGGACACAACACTCCAGGTGTGGCCTCACCAGTGCTGAGTACAGGGGCACAATCACCTCCCTGCTTCTGCTGGTCACACTATTTTTGATACAAGCCAGGATGCCATTGGCTTTCTTGCCCCCCTGGGCAACGGCCGGCTCATATTCAGCCGTTTGTCAACTAGAACCCCCAGGTCTCTTTCCTCCAGGCAGCTCCAGCCACACTTCCCCCAGCCTGTAGCGCTGCAGGGGGTTGTTGTGGCCCAAGTGCAGGACCTGGCACTTGCCCTTGTTGAAACTCATGCCGTTGATCTTGGCCCAGTGATCCAATCTATCTAGATCCTCTTGCAAAGCTTCCCTATCCTCCTGGGAGTCAACACCCCTGCTTAGCTTGGTATCATCTGCCAACTTGCTGATGATACAAAAGTTGTCCTGTCGTTCAGTAAAGTTTAACATTTGATGTGAATAACTTCATTCCATTGATACTTTAATTTCAGTACAATTCAAAATGAGACAACCCTAAACCAAATCCACCTAAAAGGAACACAAAAACCCACCACCCTCCCCATAAAGACTAATCACACAAAGCCCCCAACCTTGATTTAAATGGAGATAAAGCACTCTGCTTAGCTGAAAGCCTATTAAATTCATTCTTTAAAAAAAACAAAACACCTCTAAAAACCTTTTTTGTTGAAGTGTGCTTTGTATAAAAAGGTGTGTTCTAACAAGCTGCATGGCTGAAATGGGACAGGCAGGGAAAACCAGCCTGGCTCTGCAGGTCTCCAGCTGTCCACCATAGGACAGTACAATGGCTTTTTCAGCTGCTGAAATTGCCTTTTTTTTATTATAATTATTTTTATTTCTGAACGGCAGCATTTCATTGCTATTTTCCTTACAGATCAGAGATAGGTTTGTGAAGGAACCAGCGTTTGAAGACATCACTCTGGAGTCGGAAAGAAAAAGAATATTTAAAGATTTCATGCACGTACTAGAGGTAATTATTACTTAATTTTTCCTGAGTAGAGGATATGAAAGGATGTTTTAATTGATTGGCTCTTAAATTGCATGGGAAGAGAGAGGGACTTAACAGAAATCAGTAGAATTCTATTACAGTGGAGGCTGTGTGTTACCTAAAATTAATGGATATTAAAACCTCATCTTGAAAGTAAGGAACTGAAGAAACAAGTTACAGTTATTTGATATTATTTAACATATAGTTCTTCTTTTAATCTCCTTCCTTACAAGAATTTTCGGAAGTTAATACCAGAATTCCTGTTTTGTTTTAGAGAAATTGTTTGTTGCTGTGATTTTGTACAAAACCTGATGAAATTGGACATAGAGCTGCGGTATTTTATTCACTACAAATCTGGAACTTCAAGGACATAATAAGCTCTGCAGATGTATATTATTTTTTTTTTACTGCAGACAGTGTTTTTCTGGTGTGCAAACGGGAGGATGTAGTTCAGTGTCATTCTTGTTGAATAAGGTGCTGCTTTTTCCTAGAAAATGCGAGATTTGATTTTGCAGCACGTGCACCACGGGTTTGGTGGTTGGATTTTTTTTTCAGCTTTTCCTAGAAAATGTGAGATTTGATTTTGCAGCACGTGCTCTTTGGGTTTGGTGGTTGGATTTTTTTTTCATTTTCTGGAGTTTGTAAGAGCTTTTAAAATGGCTTAATTTCAGAACTTCATATTTGGCAGAGTGAGGTGTGCAGTGTGTTTTAGGCATTCTTGAGCAGGGGAGCAATTGGGAGCAGGAGACTGAAGCTCTGGGCATCCTTGCTCTTTGGTGCTTGTTATTACTCCTTCAACATGGCAATATCGGTAGCTCTTGATGGGTTTTGACCCAATAAATGCCTGATTTATTATTTTTTTAACCACTGCTGGCTGTCGATGCCTCTGTGGATGATAAGAAGCATCATTACAGCTTCTTGCTGTGTCCTACAGACCAGTTATAACGTTGTGCCTTCTCTTGCCCTTCAGCACGAGTGCCAGCACCATCATTCGAAGAACAAGAAACATTCGAAAAAATCCAAAAAGCACCACAGGAAGCGATCGCGGTCTCGCTCGGTAAGGTCCTTCCTGGGGTCTTAAAACCTCCTTCCATCACTGTTCCTGATGCTGTGGTCCTGCTAACGTTGGGTTTGTATCTCCAGGGCTCGGAGTCTGAGGATGATGACAGCCATTCAAAGAAGAAACGGCAGCGTTCGGAGTCGAGATCGGTTTCTGAACGTTCTTCCAGCGCAGAATCCGGTAGGAGATTATTTCTTTTTCTTTGTTTTTTAAATTAGCATCCCTGTTCTGCTGCTGGATCTTGACCCTTTTATTGATGTGTTTGTCTTTCTCCCTGTGTCTGCAGAGAGGAGTTACAAAAAGTCAAAAAAACACAAGAAAAAGAGCAAGAAGAGAAGACACAAGTCTGTAAGTGCAGTTAATTTTTTTTTTTTGGAGTTAACTAATGACCAGTTTGGCACCTCGTGGTCTCAGTAATCCTTTTTTGATCTCTAATCATCCTTTGGAGTAGGGACTGTGTGAGATCAGACTGGAGGGTGGATATTGGTGATGAGTTAACTCTGTTACATATACCTGAATATTAAACCATTCAAGACTGCTGAATTTTTGGGGTTTAACTGCGACCATTCGAGCAGGCGTCGAGGACTGTCCTAGTAACCCAGTATTTGCTGTTTATGGGGGCAAATCTTGGTGTTGGCTGTTTCTGTGGAGAGCTGGGAACAAGCCCAGCTGTCTTCTCCTCCTGCCTGATGCTGAGCATCGTTCCTTTTGTCTGTTGAGCCTTAGGGTTGGGTTAGAAGCTTTGATACTGAATCCACTGGAGCATCAAAAGGACAGAAAGAGCAGGAAGAGCTTTCCCTCTGTATTGGTTGAGGCTAAAGAAGAATTCTTTCTTTTCCCTGGATAGAGAAAGAATATTGAGTCTCTGAACTCATCTTGGCTGCAAAACTCTTCACAACTCGATTTATTCTGTTTCTGTAACTTCTGAGCAGTCAGCTCTGCCCTTCACTGGGCAGTGTTCACAAGGAGGGGGATGTTAATTGTTAGCTGCTGAGTAAGATGTTAGTGCTAAAGGGTTGCAGCCCAGAGGGTCACACAAGCTTAGCATCTCTGGGATGAAACTGGGATAAAAATCACAGTCCTGCCCCCTGATCCCTCACAGTGTGGGTAATATCCAGTAAAAACCCAGCAGCTTTAAAGCACTTGAGTGGAACAGACAGTTTTTTCCCAGATTTCACCCTTTCTGGGAATCTTAAGGAATGAATGGATTTGTGCAGAGATTTATCTTAGGGCACCCAGTGTGCACTGGGGATGGTGAAAGTTTTTCTGCACTGAACAAACCTCTCCCCTCTTCTTTTCCAATCACTTCAGTGATGTTTCTGCATTACTTACTTCTGCGGTGGTTAATGGGATGTGCTTAATTAGTAACCACTTGAAGCCGTATTTCTAATGTGGCCTATATTGAAATGAAGGCAGACTTTTCGGAGGTGTGGTTATTCTGTCACTTAATGTCTAATATATTTCATATTAATATTTTCCCCTTTATTTACACAGGACTCGCCAGAATCGGATGTTGAACGAGAAAAAGACAAAAAAGAGAGGGAGAGAGAGAGCGAGAAGGACAGAGCCAGACAGAGATCGGAATCAAAACATAAATCTCCTACTAAAAAACGGCCTGGAAAGGATTCTGTAAGCTCTGTCCCCCTCTTCCCTGGGGCTTTGGGCTCACGTGTCAGCAGGGTGCTATGGGGTAGAACCCAACCTTTAGAGGTTTGCTTTAAATAAGGTGCTAAAGCTTTATTTATGTTCAATTTGTAGATAAAAAGGATCAAATGTTCAAGTGGAGCTTAATGATCCTTTGCCCTCGGGTAGTGCTTTGTTACAGAGGGGTGAAACTGCTGTGTGGTGCTGAGGGACATGGGTCAGTGGTGGCTTTGTCAGTGCTGGGTTGATGGTTGGACCTGCTGATCTTAGAAGGTCCCTTCCAACCTTGATGATTCTGTGATGAAATGCCACTTATTATTGCTGGTTGGCATGAGGCATGAATGAGGCCTGGTCCGTGCTCTGACAGCGCAGCCAGTGTGGCCAAACTGCCCCTCTTTTTTTCCATCTGATGGGCTGGATTGATCCCAAAAGAGATGAGCAGCCAGAAGTTCAGTGCCTGTGGTGCTGGGCTGAGGGGGAGACAACCTTAGTGGAACAAAAGCTCCCCAATTCTTGCACTTCTCAGGCTCGTGGCTGCTGTCCTGCTCCTGGCTGTGATGCTTCCACGTGTTGATGCTTTGGGAGGGGCTTAGAAGAGCATTTTCAAAGACACATCAAAGTGTTGGGATGAAAAGCATAAATTTCTTTTGGCTCAGCATCTTTGGGGGCTCCTCAGGGTGGGGGGGGATTATTTGCTTCACTCAGGTTGAGTTGGGGGCGGTGTCCTTCTGGATGACACCCCATAACGTCCCCCCTTCCTGGAGGGGATGGAGGGCAGGTGTCTGCTTCTTATGGAGTCTCCTTAAAATAGAAAAGCCTTTTCTTCACATCGAAAAGCCTTTTCTTCACATAAAAAAGCTGCTTTGGCCTCCAGGTGCCTTTGATAAAAACAACCGTATGGCCTAACGAGGGCATCTTCTGATGAAGATGGGGGTGATGAAGCAGAGGCAGGACCTCAGCTCAGGCTGCCCTGTCCTCCTCGCCCTCCCTGGTTCCTCCTGCCGCCCTGGGGGGGGTTTTGGGGACCTTCCTGTGCCCCCCAGCTCGTCCTGCTGGGTGACAGTGGGGCACAGTGTCACTGGTACCTGGTGCTGACCCGTAACCCCGGCTTCTCTCCGCAGGGGAACTGGGACACGTCGGGCAGCGAGCTGAGCGAGGGGGAGCTGGAGAAACAGAGGAGGACTCTTTTGGAACAACTGGATGAAGATCAATGAGAAACCGTTTATTTATACCAAATATGTTTACATTGTGGCATAATAAAAGAAACCAATGTCTAATTCAGGCCGTGGGTTCCGATATCCTGAGTTCCGTTGCTGAAGAGACAGCGGGGTTTAATTTTACCAGATAAATACATTATTTAGGGGCCTGGCATCAAATCTAGAGAGAAGAGAAGGAAATTCTGAGGGGGAAGGTGTCTGGCCTGGACCCCCCCACCCCAGGAGAACTCCGTGCCCCCTGGATTTCTCTGCCAGCCCCGGGGAGCATTGGCACCTTTCTAGCAAAGCATCCCAGGGATGGTCCTTCCTAGAAAGGCGCTAACGCGGCGTAGGCAGGTAAAATTCCATTTTTAGAGAGACTCTTAATATAGTTCCTTGTGGTTTAATTTGTATTATGGATGTATTTTTATTTTGGAAAGGGGGGGGAGTAATGAATCCATTCCTTGATCTGTACCGCAAAAAAAACCCAACAAAATATCAAATATTAGTGTCGGTGGCCAAAGCAGCGCTGAGCTTTTGTGTGGAAGGGGAGCTTGGAGCTCCTGGCTGAGATGTGGGTCCAGGGACCCTCTTGGAGGGAATTATTGGGGTAAATGCTCAAAGCCCTGGAGCTGCAGTTGCTGGGAACAGGCCCGGCCCCCCAAAACCTTCCTTTGGAGGGGGGGGAATCTCAGCGTTTGTCTTCACAGTAAGAAAATTTATAAATCAAACTCCAGTTGTAAATGCATTTCCATGTTAATTGCCTTAAGAACCTGCTGAAGAATGTACCGGGGGTGTTGGCTGACCCCTCCCCGCGGGAGAGGGAAGGAGTTGGTGGCCCAGCTCCCCTTTTTGGTTGCCTGGGGCTGCTCGGGGGGGGGGGGGGTTTCCCAC